TTCCTTCTGTGGAGAGTCTGGAAATCTGAATAGATAACCTGACTCCTCCTGGGCTGTTCATTCTGGAACAAACCCCGAGGAAAGCGTGTCCAACTTTACGAACTGGCCACCAGGGGTCACCAGAAGAATTGAAAGGGCTTCTGAGACAAAGCCAGAGTTTCTCATTAACCAACACAAAGTGCTGGTTTGTGGGACCTGTGTGCCCACACTCTACTGTTGCCAGAGAGACCTCTCGCTTAAATATTTAGGGTTTATTTTATATCTAGAATTTTTTTGTCCCTTCTTTTTGGTCATCAGCTCTTGCTACACCTATATGCCATTAATGGAGGTTTTTTTTTTTAATCGAATATATAAATGCCTATCGATAGGAAATTACTCAACTTTCAGGTCTCACCTCAAAGCTACCATCACCAGAGGCCTTCTTTAAGTACTCAATCTCATGTCTCTCCTTTACTTTCTTATATCACCCATTTACTTAATTACTTATTTACTTTCCACCTCACCAGAAAGATAATCAGAGCTGACATTTAAATAAGTGTTCCAGGTACTGTTTTAAGGGCTGTGCGTATATTAACTCTTTGAATTTGCGTAACAACTGTGTAAAATAGACATCCTTCTTCTTCTTGTTTTTAAGCAGCAGACACAGAGACACAGAGAAGTTAAGTAGTTTGCCCAAGGTCACACAGCTGTAAAATAGCATAGTTGAAATTCAAACCTTGGCAATCTGTTGCCAAAATCCATGCTCTTAATCATTCAGTACACTGCCTGTCCCTGAGTGGGAGCTGGTCTGCACGTCAGCCCTAGAACAATGCCTGGGAGTCGTCTGTATTATCTGTTTGATGAATGAATACAGTGTGGTCAATTCAGATGATATGTATTGATGTGAAGAAATTTCCACAACATGTTGTTAAGTGAACACAGCAAATATAGAGTATTATTTGTAGCCTGCTCCTATTTTTGAAAAAAGTATTTATGTATATAGCATATATAATATCTATAATATATATGATATATATATGTATGTATATATACATATATATGGGGGTGCATAGAGAAAAATCTTGAAGACTAAATATCTCATGATCATGTCTAGAGAATAGGATTGGTGGAGCAAGGGGGATTTTTTTAATACCCTCTTTAAAAAACATTTAAGAATAAGTTACTTTATAGTATAAAAAGTTTTAAGGAAATTTTTTAAACTTTTGACAAAAATAAGTGCCCTATTTTTCTTGTTTCATGCACTCTGAATTATAGCTTTGAAATAAATAAAAGTCCTAAATTTTATAAAACTGTAAATGTATTAAAGCGGTTATTTCTTACTTCATTTGATCCTAAGCTTTGCAATGTCGTTTTGTTCAGAATGTCTTCATTTTCTTTTATTCTCTCCTAAGCGGGGTGGGGTGTGGAGAGTGGGAGGGCTGTGTTCTCACAACTAAGAGCTAGGAATTGTCACATGATAACTTTATGCCACTCTTATGACATAATTATTGATATGTCATGACATTGTGATGTCACAGCATACAAAAGTCTGAGTACTGTGATATAAATAACTCTTGGGTTTTTTTATTTTCCGGCATCTGACTTTTGCATTTCATTCCAGATTAGGGCAGTATTAGCTCACAGGTCGATTGGTTTGTTGAAGTAGAAAGGTGTGTGCGTGGAGTTTTCTTTAAAAATGAGCTTGTTCAAGGGTTGTTGAGTTCATTCACCTCCTTCAGGAAAGTAAATTTGAGGAGCAAAGTCAGCTGAGGTTAGAGGTGTATATGCAGATCTCTTATTATCTAAGCATTCCAAGAATGCAGTGTCCTGGGCTTCAAAGTTGCATAAGAAAGATGTTTGGCACCGAGGTGTTTGCCTTGACTTTGTAGTGTGGCCTCTCAGGGTCAGGCTATATTTCTGAGAGCAGGGAGCTCCCATCATTGTGCCAGGTCACAGGAAAGGACACGAAAAGCCAGGGGAGGATCGGGTGGAGACCAGAGGTTCTAGGGCATCCAAGGGGGCAAATCCTCCAGCGCCCTCACAGACTCTCAGCCCTGCCTACACACAAAACCACCTGGGAGCTTTTAAGAAGACTGATGTCTGCCTCACCCCAGACCAACTGACTTGGAATCTCTGGGATTTTGGCCTAGGCAGTAATTTGATTTTTTTTTTTTTCCCGAGTTATTTTAATGGGCAGCCAAGTTTGAGAACCACTGGCTGGCGTGTAGCACACCGTGGCTTCTAGAAGCGCACGTGCACCTTAGGAGGAAAGTGGGTGCAGGCTGGGTGTCCAGCGGAGTGGGTGAACTCGCAGTATCTTGTATTCCAGGGAGGCCGGAACTGCTGCCATCCGAGTTCCATTGTTTCTCCCCCTCTAATATGCTCCGACTGCAGCGTGAACGCAAGTGCGAGGCTCTCCTGGTTAGCGGTGTTAAATAGCAAGTCGGAGGATCCGAGGGGGGATGAAAATCACTTATTCAAACAAAACATATACAGTTGGGGCCGGGCAGGTTAGGGCGGAGCTGGTCGTATTTATTGTACAGTATCATGTCATGACGCATTTTCTCATCGGGGCCTTCAGGCAAGCCTGTGAGGCGGGCATTATCGCCATTTCATGGATGAGGAAACTGAGGGCCAGGATCCCACAGCTATTATGTGGCCAAGTAGAACCAGAATCTTTCTAGTACCAATTCCAGGACTCACTCTGCTTCTCTGCAGCAGCTTTAAAAGGCTGTCTTTGATTTTAATTTTTCCTGCTTCCACTTACACGACAAGTCTCGTTCTCTTGAATTCTTTGTGGTATCGGCAGCACTTGAGGCGAGAGGACTAACAAGTGAAAAACCGATCAGGGAAGATGTTGGCCAACGGAGCAAAGAAAAACACTAAAGTTTTTGTTTTTTTTTTTAATTTTTCCTATTCTCACGTTTATAGATGATTTACCTTAAAACCATTTATAGATTTCTAGTGTTTCTCTATTATAGCAATGGCTAACACTGGTAGAACAAGTATTATATGCCAGTCACTGGACTTTAAGAAAATTAATTAATTTATTTCTCTCAACCGCATGGCATAGGTACTATGATCCCCATTTTCCGATTGGGAGAACTGAGGTCCAGAGAGCTTAGGCAACTTGCCTAAAGGCACACAACGAGTGGATATAGTAAAGCCCAGATTTGGATCCAGTTTAGGGCACGAGCTCAGAGGCTTATCCTTACCCTGTACTGACTCTTGGAGCTAGAGCCCAGTTGGTGTGAGCTCCTTCTCACTCTGGGTTCCTACCTTTTCCAACTGTTTCTTTAGTTATAATAATCATTGACGCTGATTGTTCTTTGGTCATACGTTAGGCATTGTTCCCAGGGTTTTACAAATAGTACCCCATTTAACTCCTGGATGCTGGAGAGGGGGCCCCAGAGATAGCCCCTCATAGGGAGGCTGTTCTTCCCACGTCCTCTTTCAGCAAGGCCCCTGTCCCCTTTCCCAAGCTGCTACGGGTCTCTATGTCCGACTTTTCATGACTGGGAAAGAGACATCCCTCTAGGCTCTCTGTCCTCATGGTTAGAAGCCTGTATGACCAGCTCCTCCTCCAGGTTCTTGGCAGCGGCTTCCCAGATCACCTCCTCTTGAGTTAGTCTTGCCTACTGCCCACACCCTCCTCACATCATCCAAGTAGATGGAGCCAGTCCTCTCGGACTTTCTAATGAAATGCTGATTTGTCTCTATGGCTGGGCTAAGGAAGAGGTTGCAGGATTTTGTTCTGGGCCGAAGCAATAGGATCTTCGCTTGCCGAGCCTGGCTGATTGAAGGTGACATCACTCATGACGTCCAATGAGGACTTACGATCTCATCCATTGTGAGCCTTATGGGGGCCGGGTGGAGCTTCTCTGAGATTTCTATGGCGGAGTCGCTTTGGTCCAGGCAGCCTCTGTACTCACCGCCCTCAAATCTGGTTCTTTTTACTTGAGGATTTTCCTCGACATTTCCTTCTGTCTCCAACATTATTCCCTGGCTGGATCTTTCTCTCCTTCAGCTCTTAGATCCACTCTCAGGATCTCCTTGACTCCTTCTCTGATGACTGTGTCTAAAGGAAACCCCTGTCTTTCTCCACCCTCTGTCACTCTCTTAACGACACCCATACTTTCTCTTCACACTCTTTAATTGTCACATTTATTGACTTACTTACTTCTTTACTTATTTATTTACTTACTGTATTCCCCATGAAAATGTAAGCTCGAAGAGGGCCAGGGGTTTTCTTTGTCACTTACTCTTCTGTTGTGAACCTTCTCCGAGCATGGCCCGTGTGAGGTGCTCAGTAAATATGTGTTGGATGGAGGAATTGAAGAACCTTTTGTCATCGAGAGCGATGATATTGACATTACTGCCAATGGCCAATTTTCAGCATCCAGACTCTGCCACTGACCATTTTTTATTTGCGTCTCACACGTACCCCAAATAAATCTACCTTGTTGAGGGTTTCGTCACTGTTGTTCGCATGGGCTAAATGTCCCCAGGCCTGTCCACTTCTTCTCAGTTTCCTCATGTGGAATGAGGTTGCTGTTGTCCCTGTGGACACATCCTTAGTGAATAAAATCAGAAAGGCCGTTTGGGCTCTCCGTGAAGGGGGCAAACTGTCACCGAGGACGATGGCTTCTGTGCCATGTCTCTTTGGGAATATGTTGGTCAAATGGAAGAGTCCCCCGAAAGTTTAAAACGCTAAAAAGATATGACCGTGCCCTAAGCAGTATGCTGGGTATCTAGGATCATGCAAAGGGGTTTCTACATTCATCGGGGTTTCTGAGTAGGGAAGACTTAACGGCACAAGACAGACCCCAGGAGATGAGGCAAATGCTGATTCAAAACAACAAAAGATGACCAGTACTTTGCTCGTAGCTGGGTTACTGGGGTCTGGGAAGTTATTACAGGTTAATTCAAGGCCGGGGAAGGCGGAGGACTGGGGTAAGCTGCGTCGGTGTGTTCCACAGCCTCAGTGCCCTGTGTGGTCACCGGTTCTTCTGCCCCCTCAGGTAGATCCATCGAACGCGCCGGTGGTTCTCTGGCTGCAGGGTGGGCCAGGAGGGTCATCCATGTTTGGACTCTTTGTGGAACACGGACCTTATGTTGTCACACGTAACCTGACCTGTAAGTACTGTTTGGACTCTATTTTCGTATAGTGAATTCTTCATATGAACCTTCTATCGGCTCCAGAAATAATTAAAGTGTACACTGAGCCAGTAGGAATAATTTAACAGGCCCAGATTATAAAAACATAGCTTTCTGGCAACGTCTGCCGAGGAGGAGGAGCCCCCAGAGTGAGCGTCCAGGCTGGGCTGCTTTCTCCCTTGAAATTTGGGTGAAAGGTTCTAAACTATTTTCTTGCAGTCTGCTGCTAACTCAAGCAATCTGGCCTTATGAAAACAGGTGGTATTTATTACTATTTGGGCAAGCTCTTTTGCGTGGAATTATATCCCTAATTATTCACATGAACTGAACCCTGTATGATTCAGTCACATAAATGATCAGATATCTTGGAAGCAAGATACTGTGGGTGGGGGCTGGGCTGAGGGGAGGAATGGAGAAGGAACCGCGGCTGGCTCTAACCCGGGTTCACCTCCATCTCTTTTCTTAGGGGGTGGGGAGGATTCTTTGCTTTCCCTGGGCTAGAATTTGGAGGGCGAACCAGTTTGTGACTCAGTTGGAAACCATGTGTGCTGATTCTATTGAGGTCACTCTCTTCAGCACTGGGCGGGAGGAAGAGGGTTCAGGAGGACCCGATGTCAGGGTGGCTCATTGGATGGGACAGGTGGGTTTATCACGTAGGTGGTTGATGGGTGTTCTACCTGCACCCGCTGCACTGGGTTTTGTTTTCAAACTTCATCTTAGATGTAGAATCCTTCCGGGTCTGGGAAAGCAAAGCAGAGGAGAAGGAAAAGGTACTGGTGTCTGTTCCCCACTGTGGGAGGACGAAGCAGCGTCAGAGGGACCCCAGGAGTCCATTGATGGGATGAAGATGGGCGCATCGGCCTCCTGATCAGAGAGCGAGGCCTTCGGTGGGATGTTGTGTTCACCGCCCGGTCTCAAACCTTCTCTCCATTTCACTAGTGCATGCTCGAGACTTTCCTTGGACCACGACGCTTTCCATGCTTTACATCGATAATCCAGTGAGTACGCGACAGCCTTAGGAAGAGTCAATGTTGGCCTCGCTTGTCTTTTTTCTTTCTATTAAGTATACTTAAGAAGTAGGGGGGTAGGGGGAAGGAAATAGAGATTTAGGTTTTTGGTTTTTTTTTTTCTTTCTAAGATAGAATTTAATCTATTAAAATTTTATTTTGAGATCTTGCTTTTCTAACAGGTATCATGACACCCAAGTTTGAGAATTTTGCTTGCTACTTCCTCCCCTGCCCTCATAGTTCATCTTATGAAATGGCCTGTCATTGAATTATATCATCCAGGATAAGGGATTGGCTTTGTGCCATTGACGATGCGGCTTCCCCATGTCATGGGTTATTGTATCATGTTGGGATGCCTAATCTTTCCAATAGCATTCTAGATATAAAACGTCAGGATTGGTCTCCTTCACTTATCACAGGGAGCAGAATGCCTCATCTCAGAACAAAAAGTGAAATTCTCCTTGGGAAGTTCTTCTAAAATTGAGTCCAATAAACTAAAAGAGGAGAGCCACTTTCGGATCAGCTTCTGCAGGCTGGGTGTGTCTTTGCCTCCTGATTTCTCTAACTTCTCTCACTTCCCAGATGGTTTAGAGAGAGAACAGGTCGAGAGGGAGAAGAAAAAGTCGCAACACTCTTGTCTCCCTCCGTCCATGTTTTCTCAGCCATCCTTTCCTAGTCTGTCATTTCATGTTTAAATAAAAGTTGAATTAAATGTCCTGTTTCCTTGGGTGTTTTAGGAAAAAACAACAAAAAACCAACAAAAATATTTATACCTAGTGGGCGGTACATTCCTTCTATAAGTTATTTACACAACGTAAGTAGTAGCTGCTTCTTTTGTATACAACTCAGTTGTCTATGAACTTCTAGGGACAAGGAAATATTAGTTTAAAAACTAGTTCTTAATTGTTTTAAAGCCCCTAGTCTGCTGAAGGTGAAAGGGCTTAGTGGCCATCTTTCTTACTACTAAGGAAACGAAACACACACAACTATCTTTTATCTCCAGCCTAGAGAGTTCCTTCTTGGCAGGACTGCAGTGCATCCTCCAGATGTCAGACAGGGGACAACTTTGGGTCTTTTGATACCATAGCAGGGGCCAGGAAAAGGTGAATTCCTCATCCTTAAATCAACATCTGGCAGGGTCTGCACTGGTGGATCAGGACAGCTCAGCCATTGCCCCCAGGGCAGAGTTTTGTGCTGATATTTTATTTGGGCTTGGAGGAAGGGAGGGGACATAGGTGAGATGCAGCATCCTCCTGTGAAGATGACTAAGTAAACATGGGCGATGGCAAAAATCCGAGGTCAGAGGCTTGGCCTTTGGAGTAAGGTCGATTTCCTCCCAGTGAGGTATCTCTCTGTGGGCTCCGAAGCGTCTGCTTCTCTGTGTTTATACCCACTTATTTATTTCACCTTCAGGTGGGCACGGGCTTCAGTTTTACTGATGATCCCCAGGGATATGCAGTCAATGAGGATGATGTGGCTCGAGACTTGTTCAGGTAAAAGGTCCTGGCTCCCTCTTGGCCTTCTTCAGACCTAACATTTTTCTATTTCAATAGGAAAATTATTTCAGCAGCAGAAGTGTTATTGATCGGTCCTCCTGGTCAAATTCCTAAAGACATTTTAAGACTACTTCTACATGAGTTCACACACACACACATACACACACACACACACACACCCGATTTTTCCACTTTGTTACATTATCACAGATAATCGTGCAAATGGCCAGCAGAGAAAGTAACAACGAGAGATGATTTCTCAAGGCATAATTGTAATTTGGTAAAAATACCCTTTAAGAAACAATGGAAAGAGCAAAATTATTCTACCAAAGTTGATCTTCAGACTTTCAACCAGATGTCTGAGAGGTGTCTGCTTGCTTTCCAACACTGTATTTAACTTTGCGTTTGCCAGGAAGCAACATCTCCTCAGATGTTTGTTTGTTCTCAGGATTCCTTCTTTTGTGACTTTCAGATGCAGTTTTTCACTCTTTTGCTTCTTCTCATGGTTTTTCATGCCGAAAGCTCAGCTCATTAGCTAGTTTCTTCCCTTTTCCTTTCATCTTATGAAATTATTATTTTACTAAAAAATCTTGAAGGAAAATGTAAAGTCGTAAGCCTGATCCAATGGTATACATATCATTTCTTCCATTTTTTTAATAACTATTTTTAGTACAATTTTTTTTAAGTAAGCGATCTTTCTTACTTGGTCACATTTTTTCCAGTTCGTAAATTATTACTAGAGACCAAGTCCTGAATTCTTTCCAATCACTAGGCTACCACTATTTATGCATTATAATAATTTACTAAAAGAACCTTAGTGGCTGGAAAGAGTTAACTAGCTCCTCGACTCCCAACCTCCCCCAAACACTCACTCCGCTAATTACTTGGTGAGCAAACTCAACCAAGTCCAAAAGTGAAAGCGAATCTCATAGAGTCAGAGTTTTTTGATCTCTGACAAAAGCTTTTCCGTTTTCTTCTTTCTCCCGGAGGCAGGTGGCTGGGGGAGAGGGGAACAGGAACTTCCAGGCCTTTCTCCCGGAGACGTTGTTCTCTGTCCTCTGCTTTCGGAACCAGAAAAGAATAAGGCTGTTGTCTTCCACACTTTCATTTGCCACACGTCTCCTCGTTTGAACACTTGCTTTTCGTCTCCGGGTAGGGGGGTGCCTGGGACCCCACACTTCTGCTTCCAGGCACAGTGGATCCTGGGAGCAGATCGGCCAGATCTTGGCAGGGGTCCTGCTTTCCTGGCTCCAGCTGACACACCTTCTCCTCAGTCCACAGACATACTCTAAATGGCTGTCCTCACAAGTTCACTCAAGGACCATGTCTTTCTCGTTTAGTACTGACTCTGTGCTCTCATTTTTCAGATGGGAAACCTACTTCTCTGCCCTCCCCCTCCCCCCAACAGGCTTTGGATTTAAATCCAAACAAGCTTAGTTGTTTAATGAGCCAACGCCCTGAGGGCGGAGGTTCTGTACGAAGAAGAAACACATCAATCCCCCCTACGCCAGAGTCTTGCAACCCTGCCATTCCTTTCCTGTCTCTCCTTCCCCTCCCCCCAAATGGTCACAGCTTCCAGTTGGCCCTCCCTGTGGATGTCCAGTGCTGCCATGTGGTGCATCTCTTCCTGCATGACATGTAAAGAGAACCTATTTCAAAGCATCCATTGTTTATAGCTGTTTTAGTTCTTTTTGCTTCAGGCCCTTAGAACTGGAAAATGGCTAATCAGGAGTAGTGCAGAGAACTGATTTCAGCTGTTTCCTTTCTAGTTTACACTATTTTTTTCCCCCTTGGTGACTACATTCTTCTCTCTGGCTCTCCAGATGGGCGGGTAGAATAAGAAGGTGGCTTTGAAACCTGTAAATGGACTACTATGGGTTTACAGAGTGAGCTTTTCTTCTTTTCCCTTTGAAAACCATCTTCTTTTTTTCTTTTTTCCCTGAAAATCCCATTTCTTTAGACTATTACTAGCGCCCAGCTGTAAGAATAAGACTCCTTAAGCGGCATCTGACATTCACATTCAGGCTGCTTTTCTATGTGTTTGGAAATGAGACTTTATCACTAACGAGATGTTTAAATAGTCTTCTTTTTCGCTCTTTTCTCTGTTGAGCCACAATGACTCTCTGGTTTAGAAAAAAAATTGACTAAATGATAATAAATGACTCATTTTGATTTGGAGTGTACCAACTGGTGCCTCTCTCCTTCTACCACTGTTTATGGATCACCTACTATGTGCCAGATGCTTCCTGGTGCTGGCGACACAGTAGTAATCAAGGCTCACAGTCCCGGTTCTCATGATGTGCCCGAAGCTTTTTCTTAGCAGCCAAATGGAAACGCTACCGTCATTTAATTCCACATGTTGGTTTGCATGGGAACTCCCTCTATTGCTAAACAAAGCTTAGTAACAATGTGACTACGAAATAGGTTTCATATATTAAGTGAGAACGTGGCATGACGCTCCCGGAGCGGAGATCCTGGCTCGGCCACGCCAGAGAGAAGCAGTCTGAATGCAGGCGATGACTCCCTGTTCACCGCAGCACAGCAGAAGCACCAAGATTCTTGTTGCTGAGCTTGTGTCGGTCAAATTGTCAGTGACTAAGGCTGCACCTCGTTTGGCTTTTGTTGTTCCGTAGCTTTCACATAGATTATTTTAACCTCGGTTCTCCCAAAAATCTCGGATTTTATTATGCCTCCGACTGCATTAGAACTGATCACACCCCAATTCTACCTTTCCGTCTCTAGAACATGCTCATTTCTACACACCTTCTCTGCCCCGAACCCACCATCTCCCCTTTTTGAAAAACATATGAGGAGTAATTTTCTGCTAGTCATTCTCTCCTGCAAACTGTGTTTCTTCCTGTTGTCCTTTAAAGCACCTTTCTGCCAACAGGTAGCCTTTGACTAAAATTATAATTATTAGAGAAGGCCTTGGCGCTATGCCAGCAGGGTTGCCCAGGGGAATCACCTGGAAGAGGCGTGCTTCCCGTGCCCTATCGCTCATGTGCCTGAATACATGCATGGAGTGTGTACACACACACCCGCCCACACACGCACGTATTATGTATTTTATATATTAGCAATTCTGCTTCTAAAATTCGAAATTTCATGCGGCCGTGATTCTACATTAGATTTTTAAGCAAACCTTCGCCATGTAATAAGAATCCTTGACTAAAACACGGTGAAGGGAGGAAATGCCATATGTAAATCTAACTTACTAAATTTACTCTTTTCATTTTTCAATCTCATTTAAGAAAGACCTGCCGAGGGCTGGCTACTTTTGGCCAATTTTCTATTCTGATCTTTTCTGTTCTGTGAAATTAAAACTCTAACTGAAGTATCCAAAGCCTCGCTTCTCAGTTAGAGAATCCTGGTGTTTTCAAGCTAGAAGCAACCCAAGAAATTGTCTCCTTCAACTAAGATTGGCAAATAAAGGACAGAATGCCCAGTTAAGTCTGAATTCCAGATAAACATTGAATGATTTTTCAATTTAAGTATGTCCCATGTAATACTTGGAATCTACTAAAACATTATTTGTTGTTTCTTCGAAATTCTAATTTAACTGGAAGGCTTGTATTTTTATTTGCTAATCTGGCAACCCTAACAATTCGCCAACAAATTCTCCAAGCAAATAAGTTTTAAGCTACAGCATATGCCTCCACTGAAATTTACTATATTATACTATCTATTGCTTCTCCAGACAGCAGTAAGAGAAAAAGAGAAGTCGATTTTTAGCCTGAAGTTTAGAGAAGGAAGGATGAAGGATAAACTCCTATTTTTATCTCTGCTCTGAGTCCAGCTTATTGCCAGCACAAACATGGAAGCTACATAATGCGGCTTTCTAGATTTAGTTGCTACAAAGATTTTAGTTACTGTAAATAATAAATAGAGAAACATACCTAAACTCTACAGTAGTGCTTAATGGTGGATTTTTATAGAGCCTTTGAAAAATTAAGTATAGCCAGGATCGTGGTGATTGTAATGACTCAGTTTGCCCGTCTTTAACCCTTGAACTTTCTCCTTCTCCTGGTTTTGCAGGGCCTTCTTGCCTTTCATCTTCACTGCATGGCTCATGGCTTTTAGTCCCTTAGCAGAAAGCTGGAACAAAAACCCTGTCTAGATTCTCTGGCACTGCCATCTGGGTCAAAACATTCTTAGAGCTTCTGAGTTTTACAAGTTTTTGTTTTCTTTTTGAAGGATTCTGAAGATCAAGTAGAGTATCATTTAATAATCCACCCTTTTCTTGCTTATTATGAAATAATTTCTTGAGTCTGTTTAAATCCATTTCAGCATAACTCATCGAAGTGACTGTTGGCATTCTTTATAAATGTGATTTTTTGACCCCACAGGCCACTGTATTTTTAGTTCAATATCTGTGGCCATTTGGTGGTTTGCTTTGGACTGTAGTCATTTTGCAGTGTTTCTGTTCTTTGGTTATTAAAACACTGAAATTCCGGGAGCCCTAGTAGAAATGTTCAGGGTTGCCCACAGGGAGAAGTTGGTAAGCAGCTGAGGTTCCCATTGCCTCCTCACAAACACAGGTGAATGGGGTCAGAAGGTTTGCAGAACTGCCTCCAAGAGTTGCGAAATAGTAGGTGAAAGCTGTATCATTTGGCTCCAGGGTCCCCTCTATAAGTGCAGGATCCAAGTTGGTAACCCAGAGATTTGGAAACCTGCCCAGAGTGTTGATGTCCACTTGTCTGAACTACTTAGTGTCACAGAGCAAGACCACAAGTATTTTTTAACCATCTACACAGTAATGGAATGTTATGCATATAAGACTGAAAAATAAAATGCCTATATGCCATAATGGTATCTTATCTTATTGGGACAAAACAGGTCTGCCTGCTAGGGTCTAAGCCAAAGAAGAGATATGTGCAAGTTTTGCAGAAAGAAAGTAAGGTTTATTTGAGAGTTGCAAGTTCTGGAGACACTGGCAAGCCATCGCTCAGAGGCCTGGCTCCCTGGGTGTCTCGGGGGGTATGGATTATATAGGGAAAAATCAGTAGTCATGGAAACTAAAGGAGTTGGGGTCGTGGGTGCTACTGATTAGATGATTGGAGGGGGATGAGGTCATTGATCATTGTGTCTGGTTCTGGAATCAGCCTTGGTACCATCCCGTCTGGGCCTGAGGCCTGGTCCCCTGGCCAGTGGGGTGGTTGTTCTGCCTCCATGGGCCTGGGGTTGAAATCCATCTACAGCCAAAATGTTATCCTTCGTCTAGAGTCCAACAGAAATCTATTGTCCCCATGATTATAGACCTGAGGCTCAGTTAATTCTGTGTCCTAAGGCTTAATGATTAAAGGAGCAGGCACACGGAGGACAAGGGCGGGGTAGAGGGTAGGGGGAGAGCAAGTGAGTCACAATGCCATCATCTGGGCAAAACCAGACTGATCAGAGGGAAAAAAAACTATTAAAGGAATGAAGTTTGTGTGCATTTACAATTTCAAATATCAAAGGGTTAGACTGGGTGGCACAGCTATGTGATTCTTATTGCCGTTTTTCTTTTTGTAGTGATTCTTATTGTCGTTTTTCTTTTTGTAGTGCATTAATTCAGTTCTTCCATTTGTTTCCCGAATACAAAGAGAACGACTTTTATGCCACTGGGGAGGTGAGTTGAACTCATGTTTTCTTATGTGCTTCCAACTTCATAAGGACTGAAATATTTTATGACATTTGTGGTTTATTCATTCGGAATGTGTACACACACCCCCAAATATTAATTCAGCCCATATTAAAATTCTTCAATTATCCCCCAAATTTCCTCCATAATATTTTTTTTTAAATCCAGGGCTGAATTAAGGTTTATATATCAGAATTGGTTGTCATGTCTCAGTCTCCTATGTTTTTTTTTGTTATTATTGTCATTCATGATAATAATTTTGAAGAGTTTAGGCCAGGTGGCCTGTAGAATGTTCTGTTTTCTGAATTTGTTGGATTCTTTCCTCAATGCTTAAATTCAGTGAAAATATTTTGGCAAGAACATCACACAGATGATGTTGTGTACTTTCTATGTATGTGTCACACCAGGAGGCACATAATGTCTATCTGTCTGTCTCATTACTACTGATACCATTGCACTACTCACCTCTGACCCTCCGCCCCTCCCCCCACACATAATAGCAGATTCAGACAGGAGTCATCAATGGATGCTAAAATATCGGGTGGCAGATCTCAGGGTAACAGGTATCCACCTGATCTCAGATTATTTATTATTTTCAAAAGGAAAAAGGTACCTTTCCAGCATTAAGATCTGGTAGATACCAGATTTTTCCGACCTATCTTCCTGTGAATAGCATCTGTTAGTCTATAAAGAAGATATTTCACTCCTATTCTCATTTTTCACATTTTAAAATATCAGTGTGGACTAATGGATTGTTATTTCTGTTGTATGTGTTAAAATTTATTGCTCTCATTGGGTTTTTAATACTCAGATTGTTCCATATTTGGTCAATGGGAGCCCCTCGGTCTGCCTTCAATGTCCATTTGACAGATCCTCATTAGTCTGAGTACTTCCTTGCTTTGAGGCACAAACATATTTCTAGGATTATCTTGTACTTTCGCTGCCTTAGCCCTGGAATCAGTCATTTCTTCAATGGAACCTGAGTTCTTTTTAACGGAGAATGGTATTTAAAAACCACAACCTGAGTTCTAAGTGCGCTCATTGCCACTGGGATGCAATTTCTTTTAGAGCTTGTAGGCAGAGCTAGGAAACAAAATGACTTCATACCAATTCCCGTAATTCTAATTCAATATCACAAGGTTCTTTTATTACCCCCAGTCTCTATCTGTATGTCCCTTCTTTCACGCTGAGGACTTGGGGTCCCAACAGCATCAGTGTATTTATTATTTTGCTCAGCCCTACAATATATGCGAAATCATTTCCAATTACTACATTAGTACCACTGCCAACAAGAAACCTCCAAGTTAATATTAAATATTAAAACTCTTTCAATATTTTTTTTTCTATAATTATTTTTATCCTTAGACTAATGTCACCACAGGTTTAAAATCAAAGTACTATGTTTGAAAGTTATAAGAATTAATTCCATTTTTTAAGGTGATTATGTTACAGTTTAATACATAGGTTCACTTGCATATATTGGTTTAGATTTGGAGGTTTGCTTTTTTTATCCTTTTAAATGTAAGTTTATTTAAAAATGGATAGCAGAGAATATTTTGAGAACACGAAAAATTCTAGGTGCTAAGAATACAATTGTGAACAAAACAGCAAAATCCCCTACCTTTAGACCTAGAGGTGAAGACTGGTAAATAAAAAAATAAATATGTACTGTACAGTCAGGCAGTGATGGGTATCATGACAAAGATAAAGCAGGGTGTGATTAGAGAATGATGAAGGTGCTATTTTGGATCAGATTGTTGGAGAAAGGCTCTCCAATGAGGAGACAACCGAGCAGAATCCTGAGTGATGTAATATGATGATGGCTGCAGTATCTGAAGAAGAGATTTTCTGGAAGAAGGAGCCACAAGTGCAAAGACTCATGAGGTGGGGACAAGCTTGGTGCACTCAAGGAAAAGCACAAAGCCACCGTGCTGACAAGCTGAGATTGCCCGACGTGACAGAGTTTGGACTTCATTCTACATGTTAGGGAAATCACGGGAGGGAACCAGCTTCACTGAAAGAGTAATTAGACTCAAACTCAGTTCAATCCAACAGGCATATATTGAATGTCTACTATGTCTGGGGCATTGGACAACTATTAGAAGTTCAATAATTAATAAGACATTGACTCCATCCTACATTTGAAAGCTTAACAATTTAAGTGCAATACAGAATGAAAAATACAATTTGAGAAAGAGCTATAAAGACAAATAGCACGGGAGAAAATAGCTCTCTCTCAAGATGGGACCTTCAGGAAAGGCCAAACAGAGGTGATAATTAAACTGGACTTTGAGGATGAATAGGGGTGTATTAGTCAGAGTTCCTTTGCTTGCAAGTGACAGAAACCCTATTTAAAGTGGCTTAAGAAGACCGACTGAGTTGACAACAGGTTTAGGTGGATGCGGGTGCTCTCACATCGTCATCAGGATTTTCTCTCTCTCTTGATCTGTTCACCTGGCTTTGTACTTCACTGGTTTCATTCTCTGGTTGGTTCTTTTCACCTGTGCCCTTGCCCCTCCTCCCACTCCAGAGCTCTGGTGTAGACCCCCAGCTCAACTTCTCTTTCTCGATAATTCTACTCGAATTCCTGAATCTCATATGATCCATTTAGATCCCATGTCCATTCTAGAACTAATAACTGAGATGAGCGGGGCAGAATATACAATTCACCAGAATGGTACCTGAGGCCCATCCCTGTACCCTGGAAGGGGAGGGATTACAGTGGAGCCCTCACCCTCTGAGGGTGGGATATGACTGGTCTCCACAGGAAGATCCAAATGATGATTTCAGAGGGCTGGAAGGATGCTGGGCAAGCACAAGCCACGGATGTCCACTCTAAGGAAGTCAAAGTAAAAAACAGTCTCAGTTTTTCCAAGGCAGAGGCACATTAATGGAATGATAAACTTCCTTCTCGTGCCCACTTTCTTTTCTTTCTAAGCTGTTTGGAAAAGACTTCTGACTGCTTTTTTTTTTTTTTAAAGCCAATTATCCAGTCAGGATTATTTAGGATCTCTACCAGTAATTCCCTGCTATTCCTTGCCTTTTAACCCATTTCGGAAGCAAGCTGGAGAAAGCGGCAGGAAGAGACACTTCTGTCATTTTTGGTAGTAACTTTGGAAAATGCCCATTCTCCACCTCCGACATAAGACTGATGTGCTTAGTGTGTAATTCCTTGTCTTGCAAATAATGTGGTGATGTCGTTAACCGCACAATGTCTAACTTTCAGCAAAGCTGCCAAATTCCAGATGAAAAATTTGTCTATTTCATGTTTGCCTGATGGCTTCACGCATGTAATTTCCGAATGTGTGCAGGAAAGGACAATTTTCTTTTGACATTCTTTGCTGCCAGAATGAATAGTTTAAAGGAAACCTTTGCCTTCTGGGTGATGAGGAAGATGTGAAGGAGGGCAGGCAAGGCCTGGGGTAGAGACGCTGATGCTAGGCAGCATCATCTTCATAAGAACTGCATGGGTCACATTAAGTCTGGGGGCTCATCTCTTTCTAGAAGGAAGAACACCAAATAATGCCTTAATGGTTTATTGTCATTAGAAGGCTATGTTTCTACAGTTTAGTTTGTTCTTGTTTAAAGGCAGAATGGATAAGTGGAAGAAGGCGTTCTGGATAAATAATCAGGAGACTTGGGATTCATTGCTGGCTTTGCCTCTCTCTAGATGACTCCAAACGTGGTCTTCAGCGTGTCTGGGCTTCTGTTTTTCATCTTACCATCAGAGGGGTTGGTTTTAAAATTAGATCACTTCCAGGGTTATTTGTTTTTACTAGATATTCCACTGTAGTTACCTACATGTACTCTTACAGCATCTATGTATAATTGCAGTTTTAACATAGTACAAACCCACCCCCCGCCCACCACCATCAAAAAACAAAAATGTTGTTATAGAGTTTTCAAGATGGGGAAATCCTTTCTCTTATGAATTCTTAATTTCCTCACACTCTTAGGGAGATTGAACAAATAATGCCACTCGATTTGTAGAATCATCCTTGAAAACTAAATACATAAACTAAGAAGAAATGGTTTTCTGCTTTTCAGTGCAAGTGTATTGGACCTAAATAAATATCCTCGACATTTGTGTGCTGTGAATGAGGGTAACCTGATGCTTGAAGGGTCTGGAGCAGCTGTTTGGTTTTCTGCTTTGGTATAAGCGAGTCTGGAAGTAATAATAGTACCTACTGCACAGGGTTGTTTTGAGCGTTTAATTAGATAATCCTCCTCAGATATTTAGCAGGGTGACTGGCTGTGGAGAGTCCCCAACATATGATGACTATTCTTACCATTCATGTTGAAAAGTGGCATTAATATATTATGGCTCCATAGCATATGGCCCGATGCGTGTGGACAGGGGCTGGGGTGTTTTAGAAAGCTCTGCTCACCTGTTTTGGGACGTGGCGTTGTCTCCTCTGTTATTTTGAAATCATTTCTGAAAGGCATAGTTCCCTTCATCTGAGAGATGATAACGGAGCTCAGAAGTTGATGCTGGAAGTTTTAGATAGCAGCAAGACGTGGCAGAACCAACCCCAGGCTCCTGGCCCCTGTGGCGTGGACCGTGGCGAGGTCGCGGCCAGAGGCGTAGTGCCCGCTGGCAGTCAGTGCAGCAGAGAAGGAAGAACTGTTTCTCTCCATTTCTGCCCAGAACACCAAATGGAATTAATTTTCTCTAAAGAGAGACAAATGTGTCTGTAAATCACCCTCCTCCAGGCATGCAAAAAAAAAAAAAAGTACTTCAAAAAGAGAAACAAGCTGCGTTTAATCCACATAATTAACTTTCTTTCTAAGTGTTATCCTTTCTGAGCCAGTAACTATTAGAGAGATTGCCCTTGTTCTTGAAGTATAGACACACTTTAGAATCTTCTCAAGTGCACATGGCCCAGCTAGAAGTTAAAGCAAAACAGCCGTCGGTGGAAGGAAGGGCAGTGACGGGAGGAAGGGGGACTGCCCGTTGCTCTCTGAGCATGCGTCTTGATGTCCAGTCC